TCTCTCTCTCTCTCTCTCTCTCTCTCTCTCTCTCTCTCTCTCTCTCTCTCTCTCTCTCTCTGTGTCACATGCCAGCGGCCCGCCTGCAGCGACGCGAAAAATCGGAATGAATCTTCCACTAAAACACTCTGTGTGTGTGTGTGTGTGTGTGTGTGAGAGAGAGAGAGAGAGAGAGAGAGAGAGAGAGTGAGTCTCTGTGTCTGTGTCACATGCCAGCGGCCCACTCGGTGCGCAGAGAGAGAGAGAGAGAGAGAGAGAGAGAGAGAGAGAGAGAGAGAGAGAGAGAGAGAGAGAGAGAGAGAGAGAGAGAGCATGCATCTCCGTTTCTGAATCTGGTGTGGAAATGCATGCAGATTCAGATGAAATGATCTTGCACTATGAGAAGGCCAGCTGGGCCAGAGGCTGTAGACCTGGGCTACATCTCTTCCGCCCTTTGAAGGACCCCATGCACTGCTTCACCTTTGTGAGAGACCCTGGCCACCTACCGGTCCTCCCCCTACATCAAAGCCCAACTCACTGAAAAGCCCTGCAAAGAATTCAAACACCCTCCCACGACCCCAAAATGGGCCAAAAAGAACGACGAAACGGACCCGGTGTATAAACGCATCCCCTACGGGCTGCGCGCAATACCTCCCTGTTGGCAGGGATCCTACCAATGCCTACCATAGGGAGCAAGCCAGCTATCTCAGTTGGTGGCACCAGGCGTGCCCCAGCGGGCAGTGGGGGATTGACTGTGGGCGTGCCAACGAAGGGCATACTCACACTAGGACTTTCTCGGATGCATATAACTGTTTTTCCGACCAGCGCAAGGGGCGGCGACACCGATTCACGGAGAATGCGGCGAGCAGTGGGCGAGGTTCACCGTAGACAAGATTTTCACTACGTAAGTGGGAATCCAAATGAGAAAAATGTAACTTCATCGTTGTAGCCATGTACCCCGCTGCATAAATGGTACCTAGCTACAATGAACCACCGGCAAACGGTAGTGCTAACGTCCAGTAAACGACGTCCACCGAAACGGTATCCACCGCAACTGACAGCCTGACCTCGGCACATTTGGAGGACCGTACGATCCGCTTCAATCAACAGTCCCACGGCGCCTCTACCGGTC